AATTTACATTATTCGGCCGTTGTATTTGACCAAACTTGTATATTCTGTCAAGCATCCATTTTCGGGTAGTTTGAGCATGCACCGACTGAAGACTGACACTCACACAATTCACTGAATGCAACAACATAGACGTCTTGGCAATACATTTGTGACCGTCCCGACATCTATTGGTCAGATTCAATAGTAACCTGCGGGAAGCACTGACTGTACGATGACACGTCTTCTCTGTTGCGTTTTATCGCTTTTCTTTTGGATTTCCTCAGCAGAAGATACTGGATTGAGTGAAACAAAATCAGCATGTCTTTCGCCGATCTTTTTAACGCAGTCTTCAAAATGTAGCGGTGTGGTAGACCCCGAATCAGACGCCAGAACGCTGACGAAAGCTGCCTGTTTACAGCTTATAAGCAGTGCAACCAGTGATTTATGCGCAAACGTAAAATCACCCAGTTGTTTGAGCGAGGCGGCTGTGCTTTATTTGTTGAATGATGAAGATAAATCTAAATGGGGTGCTGTCTGCTCGGTGATAAAAAATGCCCCGATTAAGATACCCAACCAAGTAATGTTGGGACAGTTTGAGGTTCTGGCCCAGGATGATACGATGTGCAGCACATACTGCCCCAAAGATGACATGAAGGAAACCTGCATTATGCTATATTTGATAGCACAGTCTCAGAAAGAAGGAGGTAATTACCATATACCCGTTTACACAACTAGATAGCATTTTTAGTCACTTTGGTGCCAGTCTTATAGTGATGGCATTAAATGCCGAAATGACACTCTGGGCTGTGTTCAGATTGAAAGTAATCAGTCCAGCAGGATTGATCTATCTCGATCTGTGGGGATTCTCGCTTAAGTGCACTTAATATAGTCAACTTAATTGTCTGGCCCACCCTCTCCAGAAGCTAGGGGGTAATTATCATTCCTAGCTTCTGGGGGGCAGACAATTAAGCTGGTTACATTGACTGCACTTTAGCGAGACCTCCCACTGAGTTAGATTGCTGGACCGATAACTTTAAGGCTCCGTTCACATGGAAAATCTATTTTTTAAAAATCTAAAAATCTATTTTCGGTATCTTGTGATCACAGTCTGTGCCCTGGATATCCCTCGGCTTAATAACTGGCAGCGCAGAGAATTAATTACAGCTTTGGAAGAAACTAGTAGCGCTGCCCGTAATTATGCCGTGGGGTATTCAAGGCACAGACCGTGATCACAAGATACCGCAAATAGATTTTTAGATTTTGAGAAAATAGATTTTTCTTGTGAATGCAGCCTTAATCTCAGGAGCTGCAAAAATATTTTTTTTTCTGTAATAGATGAACATTTACTGACAGTGTTTGCCTCTTAGAAAAATTAGTTGCTGGACCGAAAGTCCAGCCATCTTGAAAAGTAGCTGGACTGAATGTCTGCCAGGTGGGAAAACTTCTCAGCCCGTTCTGAAAGTTGTCAGCCCCTGGCAGACGGTCCAGCCTTAATTTCTAACACTGTTTACTGAGTTCAAGATTAATGTAATTTGCAGTGCAAAATCTAAAGAGCAAGTTATTTTGATGTTTAAAGACATATAGAGGTGTCATTCCTTGTCATTTCAGTATTTTAATACTTAAAAGTGACAATCGTCTTGTAGTTATAGTACAAAGTTGGAACAGACTGGGAATTTAAGTTAACCAATAACTAAGCAACCATGTTCATCTGATATCTAATTCCTGAGAATGTTGAGCAGCAGGATTTATATGTACAGAGGCATGAATTGTTGACAAAAATAAAACACATCAGCCTGATATGCTGAACAATCTAACTTGCACATATATAATTAATATTAATGATGGTATATATATATATAAATAAATTTTTAATAGAACATAATATTGAAAAGCAAATTACCCATTCAGTTTGTTACTGGACAAAAGATAATATTTGTAAAGTCTAATTGGTTAAGAAATTAAGGGAGGTGAGAAAGGGGGAGGTAGAGAAGAAGAGAAGCATATCATATATTACTGTACAGATTTAAATACTACAGGCAAATAAATAAAATGAAAGATAAACTCCTTCGGCTTGGATCCTTCTCAGGGTAGATAGCACACCTCAGCTCACACTGGACTTGCATTGGGTCCTCCTCTACTCCTACATTGTACTTCCTGCATATCCTCTTTGATAGCATCCATGAACCTTTTCCTCGGTCACAGACAAATGTAAGGTATGCTTACCAAGTATGTAAATGAGTGAGAATATTATTTTGAATATTTAACTGCATGCTTCACATTTTTTCAGTTGTTTGCCCTACTGCTGCCAACAACGTGATTGGTGTAAATCAGGGTGAGGGTGGGGCACCAACACAGCCACAGGGAAGCAGTGTATCAGGACAGACAGGCAGTGTACCCACACAGCCACAGGCAGGTGATACACCAACACAGTCACAGTCTGGTAGTGTACCAACACAACCCCCACTTGGGAACCTGAACCAACAGTCAGGGTTGGTTAGTGGACCTACACAGCCACTGGTTGGCAGCCTACCTGGACAGACACAGCCTGGCAGCCTACCTGGACAGACACAGCCTGGCAGCCTACCTGGACAGACACAGCCTGGCAGCCTACC